AAAGATTGCACAGGCAGATCTGTGAAAGGTGAAGCCAAAGAGGAAAATAGGTTACTGAGCAACATTATTTCACTATAAACGGGCAGAGATTCTGAAGTTTTAATTAAGGCAGTAGATTTAAGAGATCCAAAATGAATTTTCCATCAGATGAGCAGAGGGATTTTTAACAAATTAAGCACACTGGTAAAAACATTGTGTGTTTGTGAGTGTGAATTCTTGTGAGAAAATGATCCTTGCATGCTTAAGTCATTGGAAGTAAACTTCCCATTCCTAGAAGTCAAGCTAACTTTGGATCAATAGTTAAAGGAAGTTATATATGCAACAGTAAAGGAAAATAAACACAAATAAGGTAATGTTTGCAGCTACAGCACTTAAATTAAAAGAATATCTAAATAAGGAATCAAAAGTACATTTTTAAGCATGATAAAGGTTCCTGTCAAATATTAAATGCAAATATCATTTTAAAAGGTACGATGGTAAAGTTCACTGATATTAGACAGAAGGTCCTCTCCACATTAATGATCAATAGGAATGACGAGTAAAGAAGTGACTAATGAAGAAGAATCAACACACCAGTCCTCGAAGAGAGCCTTAAACTCATCAGGATACAGCATGAGTAAGGTTTACAAATATGACAGTAATACTGAAAAATAAGGGGTTTGGAATGAATTATTACAAATTAATATGTTGAAAATCCATTGACACTGGAATCAGCTATAATGCTATAGAATACTAGAATATATGGTAAAATATCTAAGTATCACATGTGTCAGATTTTTATATGATGCTGGATAAAGATCATAAAGTGGTTCCATACATGTTTAATAGAACATGACACTAGTTCTATTAAAGGTCATAACTATTATTCTCAGGCAAATGTTTGAGTGTTCTGTTTAACATCGCTCAGTCACAGTATTGTAACATATATTTACTGTAATGGGCAAAGTTTAAATTAAACATATCACAAAACATGGGACAATAAGTTTCTTAAATACTTTCGATTGCCATACATGGTGGAAACTCCACCGTCTTTATATGGTGATATGGGGAAGCACCTGAGTTATAATTTCAAGGAGAAGCAAGAGAGGGATCCCCTGCTGCTTTTCTGATTTACCACAGAGAAGGGGATCCCTCACACAGCTCTCCCTCTTTCTGTCTAGCGGGTCCAGCTGTTATGTAAATAGATAATCACAGGAAAGCAAGTAGTATAAGTAGGACTCAGCCAATCATGATTAGCTTAATAGGAACAGACCACTCAAAGGAAGTTCTTAACTTCCATCCATTATCACCTGCCAGTGTTGGGCCTAGCCGCTATGAGCTTAGTGAAGGCCTGAGTCTCAGTAGTTTACCCTGAGACAATACCTGGTTGCAGAAAGGACCACAGACTGAGATTACCCAGGCATCACCCAAGAACAGGCCATCCAAAGGAAAATCCTAACATTCCAACCATTGTAGATAGGATTACCTGCCAGCAAACATCCACCAGGACACCCTAGCCAAATGTCAGCCAATCAGGGGTCCTGAACCTTAGAAATCCCTCACCCCCACCTTTGCTGCTATAAAAACCCAACTCTAACTGAGCTCTCCCATTGTTCTAATATGTTAGATACACTGAGAGTCTGAGTTTGTATACTTGTATAAAATAAAGGTTCTTTGTGTTTACATACAGGACTTGGTCTTCTTGTTGGTTTCCGGGGGACTTTGTGGATCTGGGCATAATGGTATAAAAATATTAAAAGTCTGATATTGGACACTGAGATGGTTCAGCAGGTAAGAACACTGCCTGCTCTTCCAAAGGCAATGCATGGTGGCTCATAACCATCTGTAATGAGACCTGGTACCCTCTTGAAAAATAGACCTGGTCAGTTGTCCTCATTAACTTAGAATATGAAGCCAAAAATGGATAAGTTCAATAGAACCACCATATACAGGCTTCCCATGTATGCTTTCACATTGCCAAGGCATAAACTTCATTTCATTTCATTCACAATACAATTCTTTTGACAGGAAAAGAAATGGAGTTCAAGAATAATGGAGATGAAAGTTACTTGTATCTACAGCATAGGGAGATGGGTTTTATGTTTTAGTATCTCACTTTGCCTTTTTTTACTATGATATAATTTAACAACTTTTTGCTATATTGGACTTTGTTTACAAATTTGGAAGGTATTACTCAGAGAATTTCCATAGCAATATTCAAATAAACATTTTTAATCTGTGTTATTCTAATTTATTATATTATTTTTCTATACTCACTCTCTGATTTGTGATACATATAATTGTCTATGGAAAGAATGATTAAAAACTGCAGGTTTCATTAACATAGCATGTATTCGAAGAAAATTTGGGGAAGAAATACTTTTTTCTTCCATTAATTGCATTTTATTTTCTGTAAACATGTGAAACAGAAACATAAATATTAAAAGCTAACAAAATGTATTTAAAATGGAAAATATTTTTAGATGTTTTACATTGTTTTTTGCTACTGTTATCAAAGTAACCCCCTTTAGATACAAACTACAAAGCCAAATATAAGTGTCTAAGGTTTCTTTTTTTGTACTAAAATCATCTGAAAAAAAATAAAAAGGAAAGTCAGGGGAGTGAGAGTAAGTGGATAATAGAACAATCTAGAGAATCTACTGAGAGACAAGGATCACATCCAATATCCGCTAATGTCCACAGAGATTATATCCAGGAAGCTCTGGACAATTGAAATAAACAAGTGTGGAAATCTCGATCCATCGAACAAGCCAACTTAATTTTAAGACATGTCGAAATGAGGCTACTGAATTTGTTCCCATGGTATCCCCTTATGTCTGACCACTTATTGAAAAGGCAGAGGCACAAACCTCTAGGGTCGTCTGTGGATGGTTTATCAATTAGATTCCAGTCCCCCTAAGTCAGTCCATCCCTAATTATATAACTATGCCATGATCAGAGGCAACTTCTTTGCCAAAGCAATTAACTTTTTTTTTTTCATGAGATTAACTGAATTTGAATCACCTGCATAACTTGCTTGCAAGGTTAATCTCTCTGGAGATAACTGTTGTTTGCCAGTGTGTTACTCTATAGAATACAGCTCTCAAACAGCCCTGTCAACCTTGTTACAAATCCGCATGGTAGAAAACCCAACTTTACATGCAGCTGTAATCAAATCTAATGTCTTGAATTACTGGAGTCATGTCAACATTAGTCAGGGAGAGAAGTATTCAACTTTACACTATACCACAAATTCAATAGGTGTTTGAATAATCTCTTCTTGTTTTTGTGCTACAGAGAAGAAATTACGTACACAGTTAAAACATCCTCAATTTCAACAGTATGCAGTCTTTGAGAGTGGCTGTAACTGAAACTGCCAAGGCCTGTGACATGCCACTTATTTCCTGGGTGACCTTAGCAATTTTAAGGTAAAATTCCCTTGAGATTGTAAAAGCAGTACTGTGGCTATAATTGCATAGGTGGGGTTGTTTAAGTCCTATAAGAAGAAACTATGTAATAAAAGGACATTAGAGCTAACTACTGCTTGTAAACCTTGCCAGCCTTTATCTGCCCTAGCAGAAACTGCCTTGGTGCAGTACCTATAAAGTAAGAAAGTCATCAGATGGTTAGCTTCACAGGTCTCCTTTGACTTTACAGTGTATGTCTAAAGGGAGGGAAGCTTGAGAACCATTGAATGCTATTACTGTGCCCTTCCACAAACCTTGGTGATAATGGTCTGGCAACCTGAAAGTAATTACATAAATTCTGACTGAATTAATTTAGTTTTGAAAATAACTTTATTCTTGGAAGTAAAGACCAACATAGATAAAATCTGGAAGAGAAAATTCTTCTTTCACCGAGTTTTAAAAACAATGTTATTCTTGTTAATAGACTATGAAGCACCATTAGAGAATATACCCCTGTGAACAAATTTTTTCACTATCCTGAAGCATTAAAATAGATTTTAAAATATAGTAGGTACTTGAGAAGTATTCACAAGAAAGTACTACATTGCTTCTACTAATCAGGATGATTTATTCAACACATCATTTGAATGCTTACATGAAATCTGTAGCATGGATAGGTATTTCTTTTTATATTTTTATGTTTTTATTTTTATAAGGCTAAGTGTTTTGTCTGCATGGGTTTCAGTGTACCATATGTGCCTGAGGCCTTTGGAGGCCAGGGGAGGCTGTCAGATACCCTGAGACTGGAGTTACAGACAGTTGTAAACTGACATATGGGTACTTAAAAATCAAGTCCAGGTTCTCTAGAAGAGCAGTCAGTACTCTTAAGCCCTGAGCCATCTCTCCGGCCCCAAGATAAAAAAAAAAAAATATTCTTTAAGATTTTTGTGAAAGCATTATTTTTAACTTTATCTCTGTGTATTTTAGCTCCTTTCAACATATGAGCTAATTTTCTTAACTAGTATCTAAAAAAGCACATCACAAGTTCTCACAAGCCCATGTCTCAGTTCTCATCCTTCATGAAGAGGCTAGTTGCTAGTAGGCAATCACTAACTAAAAATCATGAGGAGACAGAGTTTATGATATGCTTTTAATGGATGGAAACAAAATATGGATGATGTCAATACATGAAATGCTATTTGAAGAAAGCCTTCTCTATAAAATCAGAGCAATGGACAGAAGAACAAGTCTGTGGAAAGGAATTATGAATAGGGAGAGGTAAATTAGTACCACAAAGAAACATTTATAATTCAAACAGTGTTATTAGAATTTAGGGACACAAAGCCAGCATAATGATACCTGCTTGCCATGTCCAAATCAGAAGGCTGGGATGGGAGGATTGTGAATCTGAAGACAGCTTGAACCATAGAGCAAGACCATGTCTCAAAGAAAGAAGAAGAAGCAAACTCTGTGCCATAAAGAAGCACACGAAGCAAATACAGATTACTATCAATAGGATAAACAGAATAGGAAAGATCCAGAAGTATAACATGCAATTCATTAAATATACGTTTCACAAAATCAGGGTGGTGGGAGAAGGAGGAGGCAGCCAGTTACTTATAAATGGTGCCTAAGCAGGACCTGAAGCCCAGATTCCAGGAGGGCGAGTGAGCGCTGTGCTTTCATGGGCCTCTTCTCTATGAAGCAAAATGTGTCAAGGTTGCCATAAAGGACAAACAAGTGAAAAACTTTATCCATTACAGTGGCTGGAATAAAAATTGGCATGAATGGGTTCCAGAAAGCAGAGCACTCAAATACGTGGACACCAGCTTGCAGAACACAGCAAGAGCCTTCAAAAGGCCAGTCAGGAACAATATGCAGATGGCTGTACCAGGAAAGAAGACATCTGGTCCGCAGCAGGAAAATGTTGAAGTGAAAACAAAGAAGAAAAAGCAGAAAACACCTGGAAATGGAGATGGTGGCCATACCAGTGAGACACCTCAGCCTCCGAGGAAGAAAAGAGCTCAGGAAGATCCTATCATTGAAGATGAAAAAACATTTATGAACAGAGTTGAAGTTAAAGCAAAGATTCCCGAAGAGCTGAAACCATGACTTGTTGATGATTGGGACTTGATCACCACACAAAAGCAGCTTTTTTTATATTTCTGCCAAGAAGAATGTGGATTCAATTTTGGAGGATTATGCAAATTATAAGAAATCGCTAGGAAATACAGATAAAGAGTATGGTATTAATGAGGTTGTAGCAGGACAAAGGGATACTTCAATGTAACGCTGGGCACTCAGCGGCTTCATGAATTTGAGAGAAAACAGTATGCTGAAGTTCTTGAAGATCACCCTGATGTACGCGTGTCCCAGATGTATGGAGTTCCACACTTACTGAGATTATTGGTGCGAATTGGAGCAATGAGAAAAGCCTGGCTTTATTACTGAACTATCTACATGATTTCTTCAAGTACCTGGTGAAGAATGCTGCAGCTTTGTTCAGTGCCAGTGATTGCCATCAGAAAGTTGTATGAGGGACATGCTCTCTCTGACTTGTGCTTGGATCTCTACAGTTTGGTTTTTAGTCCTTCTCTTATACAAATGATGAACTTTGACATATATACTCATTATATATATCATGAATACAAATGATGAACTTTGATATATATACTCATTATATATATCATGAATACAAACGATGAACTTTGAAGACTCTTTAGTGTATAACAGAATTGATAGTTGTTTTCTGTTTAATTTTAAACTGATGTGGGATTTCCCTCTGTATGTTGTGGGACCAATGATAAATAAAGGAACTGCTTTGGACCTGTAGCAAGGCCAGGAAAAACTAAAGTGAATGCTCGGAGAGCGGAGGCAGAGTCAGAGAGAAGCCATGTGGCCCTGCCGGACACAAACACCGGAACTTAACAAGGTAAGCCACAGTCACTTGAGAACACAAATTTCTAGAAATGGGTTAAATTAAGATATAAATGTTAGTCAATAAGAAGGTACAGCTAATGGGCCAAGCAGTGTTTTAAATAATATAGTTTCTGTGTGATTATTTCGGGGCTGAGCTTATGAGCAGCCAAAATCAACAAGTGGCCTCCTCCAACACTAAACAGAGAAAATAAAAGGAGTCACTGCTCTTATTTTCTCTTTTTCATTTCGAAATTTCTACCAGTGTGTTCAGCGATGGACAGCAGAGGGATATGCCATAGAGTGTTTTATTGCCGAGCTGACAAAGCTGCTTTTGAATGCAGGTGCTTTTCTATGTGTTAACGCTCTATGACAAAATGCTCTGATTCCTAGTGCCAAAGGTTCATTCACTTCAGTGTATATAATTGAACACTCATTCATCTGTGCTCTTTTTTTTGTTTTGTTTTGTTTTTAAATTGTGCTTAAAGAGCCCATCCTTTGCAATTCATCAATGTTGTTCCTTAGGCATTTTATCTTTGCTTAATTGTTAAAGAATGGTGGCTTGTTTTGTGAGTTTTCTATGTGTGTCTAATGCATGTCTTAACATGATAGCTGCAATGCATCGTGTAGCTAAATTTTCATGAAAAAGTCAATCTTGTAGGAGTTGTTTTTCAGATCTTCAACAATTTTTTTTCTTTAAATTTCAAAAAAAAAAAATACATGCTTCACCAAAGCCAAACAGAAAGTCCAATAAAATGAATGAAGTTGTTTTGGATGACAGTTTTCTTGTTTGTTTGTTTGTTTGTTTGACTAATGATGAAGGACAATTGTCTATATTCTGTCAACTATGTTTTAAATAAACACTGATTGGACAGTAACCAGGCAGGAAGTATATGCAGGACAACCAGACAGGATGTAGAGGTGGGTCAATGAGAACAGGAAAATTCTGAGAAGAGGGAAGTTCCCTTTGCTGTCCCTTAACATATGCATTAATTATCTGGAGTGGGAAGTAGTAATGTTTTTTATGAAATGTCTAGAGTTTGTTACAGATGACAGAGTCATTTCAGACTCGAATGCCACGTTCTGATTTTTAGATTTGGTAATGGGCACACTCTGACTTTTAGACTTGATAATGTACACTTGAGCAGGAGGTTATCTCATATACAGAAGATGATTGCTGAGAAACAAATAGAACAGATAATTCATCTGGTACTTAAGATCTGTTTACTGTGCTCACACGTTTGTGGAAAGAGTCACAGGAAAATGGAATGCACAAACTACATTTCCTAGATCAAGTCCAGTTGTTGAAGAATAAAAAGACAAAAAGAATACATAGTTTTCTCCAGTAATGTAGATAACTATTGGATAAGGTAAGAACCTTTACTTTTTTCTTTGTTCACCTTGCACTTTATTAGTGAAGGATATTTCTTGAACAGCAAACATCACCAACTACTTTTCCTGTAGAACATCTTGAGTAAAGCTTGCATTTCATAGCCAGAGACTATGGTAGTCAAAGACCCTAAGGTGAACTTGCAGCTATGTGCAGATAAAACTGAGCAGGTGGACTGAGAAATGTAAACAAGGCTTACAAACACAATTCCAAAATTATAATATTTAGTAGTGCTGAAATAAAAGGCAGTTTGTTTTTCAATGTTTTTGAGGTAAGGGATTCAAATGTAATAAATGAGGAGGGTCCCACTGTTTACCTTATTTTTCTAAAATTAGAAGTCACAGATCAGCAAAACTCTCACACAGAAATCATAGCTTTGATCAGACTATCACTTCCTTATTCTATCTTTCCTTTTTTCCATAATTGTTTAAAAAGTATGTATATATACATATATCATACATGCATATATATATTGCATCTCATATCACATCATTTCCCCTTTGCCATCTTCTTCCGGATCCCCCCCTCCATCCTTGGACAGTTTTATTCTTTCTCTGTCTCTCTGGTTTCTGTCTCTCTCTTTCCCTTTTTCTTGATTTTGGGTGTTGTTTTGCTACATATAAAATGGAATTTTAATTTTCCCTCAACTTTGTAACATGAGGGCCGACTTGTTGGGGTATCTGTTCCTGCCTGGTACCCCACAACCAGCAAATGGCGCCCAGATGTGGATAACTGAATCCACAGAAAGCCTGAGAAAGCTTGGGAAAGAATAGAGTAAAGCATGGTTTCTTTAGCAGCAATTTCTCAGGTCTGCTCTGTTTGCTAGAGGCAAGCAAGCGCTCTCATCTAAGAGAGGCTTCCTGACTCAGCTTTAGCTGCAAAACCCTGCAGCTCATTAAGAGGTCCTGTTACAAAACACTTAAATGGTGTTGATGGAAAGCTGAACGCATGCTTTTCAGTTTCAGCCATAGCAGGAAAAAAGCTGCACCATTTTAAAATGCCAGCTTTCTGGGCTGTCCTGCCAGGGCAAATTCTGACTCTTTCAGGCAGGTAGTCCAACTGAGTGTGGTCTGTGAGCAGAATGTTGCAGCTTACTTGCTGGCAAGGACCTTGAAACGGCATAGAGTTGAGGCAGTGAACACAGCTCTGGCTGGTACCTCAGCTATGAGGCTGGAAAGCTAAGTAATGGGCTGGATCGAGCTGTCAAAGCCACGACTTTAGTCCTATCGATTGGACTTGGTAAATTAAAGACTCATGTAGTCAGAAAAGGAGAGATATACAGTAAAGATAGATTCAAAGATGAAGAAAACCTCTAAATGGTTTACAGTGTGTTAAAAATATATGCAGGATAAAAGTTAAAGTTCTTAAAGTAAAAAAAGAAAGAGAAGTTGGGTATGGTGGTACACACCTTTAATCCCAATGCCTGGGAGGCAGAGGTAAATTGACCTCTGAGACTTCAAGGGGCAGAGGTAGATTGACCTCTGTGACCTCAAGGTGTGGTAGCACACACCTTTAATCCTAATGTCTGGGAGGCAGAGCAGACAGGTCTCTGTGAGTTCAAGGTGTGGTAGCAAACACCTTTGAACCCAGTACTGGGGAGGCAGAGACAGAGGGATCTCTGTGAGTTCAAAGACAGCCTGGGCTACAGAGTTATTCCAGGACAAAGATATATACAGAGAACCTATCTCAAAAAGCCAAAAGTTAAAAGTAAAAATAAAAGAAATAGAGGTTGAAATAAAGCTGCATAAAGATGGAAAATAGAGAATCTTGATACTGTATGCTATTATGCTCTCTTTTAATTGTTTGATTGCTGAAGAAGGAGCAACAGCTGCTAAAAGGCTTTCATTTATAAATGCTGCTGAACTAATCCAAGATAGGTATTTTGAAAATACCTTGGCTTCAAAACTGAAGTCATAAGGTATGCTACTTTGGAGAAGAGATTTTGCTTTTGTTTCCACAGAAAATGAGAGGCTGTGGATTCATTCAGAGTTAAGAAAAATCAGGTTTGAAAAAGGAAGACCACCTGAGAAATCTCTGATAGGAACAGATGGCCCAGATGACAGAGTTCTACATCCAGAACAGATTCAAGACTGCTGCCTGAGATGAACAAGACTTACAGTATACTCCAGTCAGGACTTGATTATAACTCTAAATTTTCTTTAGGTCCCCATAAGATCATCAGCGCCCCCAACCAGCAGGAAGTAGCCTGAAATACTATGCCCACATTCCCAACAAATGGACTATGGGTATTTTCCTTTGTTTAAAAAAAAAGAGGGAAATGGTGTGGGACAATTATCTGTATTCTGTCAATCATTCTAATAAAACGCTGATTTGCCAGGCAGGCAGTAAGGCGGGAAATCCAGACAGGAAGTAGGGGTGGAGCAAAGAGACTGGGAGTATCCTGGGAAGCAGGAAGTTCCCTCCGCCATTCCTGTGCAGACCACCGAAGAGGCAACATGTGAGCTGTCACACTGAGAAAGGTACTGAGCCATGTGGCTAACATAGATAATGATAATGGATTAATATAAGTTACAAGGACTAATAAGAAGCCTGACCTAATGGGCCAATCAGCTTTATAACCTAATGTAGACTCTGTGATTTCCTTGGGATTTGCTGGCTGTGGGGTACCAGGCAGGAACAGATACCCCAACAAGCCAGCCCTCATGTTACACAACTTATTGTATATGAAACCCCTCAGGTCAGTTTACACAATCAGATATCTGTTTCTCAGCTCCCTAAATCAATTCTTCCACAAGAACTGCCTCTGGATAAATTTAATCTCTTGGGTTGATAGCTATTTTTAAAATAATTTATAATTTGTACCACAAATTTTGACAGGTTTACAAGTCTCTTGCAATTCCCATAAAGTCTTTAGGAAAAGTAGGATAAATATTTCAAATACAGACACATTACTGGTAGATCTAATTGCTCTGATAATGACATTGAACCCTTTCAATTTCCTTCTGAAGACAGGCTATACTGTCATAATGCAATGTTTTTCTATTCAAGAGCTTGTGGTAACTACAAAAGAAAAATAGCAATGAGTGTTTCTTTAAATAGAAGAGCTGCACTTGTGGGATTTCAATGCTGATAATCAGTGACCACTAATTTCATATCTTACCAGACAAAATTGTATTTTTATTTATTACCATGTAGAGGGAGTTTTGAGACTCTTAAAGATGACTGCATATGATTTATAGGAAAACTTAGAGTTTTCTGGACTAGGTAGAT